AGGAGAATACTCCTTGTGTTCACTCTGCTACGTTTAAAAAGAAACCTTGCAAAAGCCTTGGGGTAGAAATCAGAGAGCCAGTAGACTTGGAATTTAGTTGAAGGTGAAAAGTTAGGCACAGAGAATATAATCTAATATTTAAATAATCTTAATCATTGTTAGAGGAGAGGAATTAACAAAGGAGGAATGAAATGGTGAATATATTATTATCAACTTCAACCGAACTGCAAATGCCTGGGAATCTGCATTTTTTCTAATCAGCTTGCTCTTCTCCTCCCTAAAGTGTCTTGTTCCTTATTGTCTACACCTTCCTCAAATTTACAGCCTTCCTCAATCAGCTTTTCTTTCATTCTGTGATCTAGTCTCGTATTTCACGGAGAACATAGAAATGGGAGGCCCCACAGGCCTCCCCACCAACATATACCTGCATTTACAAACGTTTTTGCTCCTCCTCCGTCCTTTTACAACAGAGGAAGTATCCTCATTAGATTAAAGGCCAGTCCATCTGTGTATATCAGGAATAGCCAGTCACTGAGAGGAGTGCATTACAGAGATCACTGATTCTCAAGATGGGGTTGGAAGCTACAATTTTAAGTGATGTCAGTTTGTAAGGTTCTGCAGTCCATGGCATCTTGAATATGGAAGCAAACAAGGCATATTGATTGGCTTTTGATTAGGGATTTGCAGGATGGGTCTACAGGACAAAGGGGTGAATAGTTGAGAGCTGGAGAGAGAATGATATGGGATCCCAGTGAGACAGATAGGAAAGTAAGCTGTAAGTAGTGCAGTAGATTGGGGAAAATCAAAAGGCTGGAAGGACTAAAATTCAGTTTAGAAAAAGCATGTTTATAGGAGTAAAGGAAGTGATCTAAGTGTACAATAGAAGAAATATAGAAGAAAGATCTGGAAGATGAGCTGTACTTTGTGCCTGTGGGTTCCCCTTTCCATGGTTCTCATTAATAACTTCTTTGGCCTTGTCCCTGCTGACCCCTTCCCCATACTCTCCGAACAGTGACCTCTAAAAGAGTGAGAAATCTTGGCATTAGGCATAGCTCTCAGATGAAAATCAAATGCTACCTGCTGGTTAAAATTCATAGTTATTAAGGTAACAAAAGCAAGGTAAGGGACAGAAGAAATTAGTGCAGTTGAAATGAAACAGATGTTATTTATTCCACTCATTAAAAGTGAAAATCTACTTATTTGGAAAGCCTAGAATGCTGCATCTAACTATGGAACTTCTCCAGGGTTCCTGAAACATAAGTACTTCTTCTCTAAGAGCCTAAGCAGTTGACAGCAGTTTGATAAGTATACACTATGTTTTAAAGGTATGAATAAAATTAAAAGTAAGGAAAGAATTAAAAAGAAAAGTTGAATATATTTTGTCTCTTTCTCTTCACCAGGTTTTCACACTAATAACGATTTTAGCTTTTCAAAATCGTCTAAATTCTTTTCATCCCTCATACGTAGGTATTTCTTGTTTCTCCTCATTTGTTCTTTACAGTAGTTTTTTGCGTCCCACCCATACCTTTAGAGCATTCTTCTTCTTAGTTACAAATTCTATTCTTTATCCCAGTGTCGTTCTTTCCTTTCTTAGGTGTGAACTGTAAAAGCACAGTGTATACCTCATCTGTAACCATAACTTTTGTTTTTATTTTCTTCAGCTGCTTCTTTCTTTCCTAATAATTATAGTACAAAGGTAGCACAGCTACTGTCTCTTCAGTTGGAAGACCTAGGTTGATGTGCTGGTACCCTCCACATGTTATCTCTGTGACCTTAGACAAATTATTGAACCTCTCTCACTCTAATTTGCTTCTCTGTAAAATTGAATATTAGTATCACTTATCTTACCAAATTTTTGTGAGGATGAAAATGAGATAATCCAAATCCATGCAAAACACTTAGCACATTAGCAACCACACTTTAAGTCTTAAATGTTAGCTATTAGCTGTTACTACTATCAGTCTGTTTTATTACACAGCAATTTCTGTCCTGTGAAGGATGCCTGTGTTAGCATTTTGCAGTCAAAGGTTATAGCAACAATCTCTCAGAATGGTGAATGTGGAGTAAGAGAGGAATTTGTATTTTAAGTAGATAAAAGAAATAAAAGGGAGAAAGAGACGCTGTTTGGTTCATACGAAGCCATTGGCTGTTTCTAACATGCCATCAACTTATTTTTCAGAATTCTTTATTTTCTTTTTTGCTTCTTTTGTCTGCCACTATATCTTTCCTTGTCACCCTAAGATGTATAATAAAAATGAAAGAAAATTCAATAAGAAAAATTGTTTAAAAAATAAATGAACATTGGTAAACTATTTGCTAGAATTGTATTTTATGTATATATCTGGATTTAACTTATCCATTTGGCCTTTGACATCTGATGACATAAATATAAAATGCTGATCATAGTAAGAAATAAGCCCTTTTTTACCCACCTCTGTACTTCATATCAATAGTATCAGCTCCACAAAAAGAAAACATCATTAGTTAAAGTCACTTATTAATTTGGTTAGAGTACTTACTACAAAATATCTGTGTTTCAGATTGTATTTAATACCAAACAGACCATCTGGCAAAAGTCCAGATATTACATGTTTTCCTTAAAGTTCGGGCTTAGCTTTCAATTTTTGTATATATCCTTAGCAGTATTTGGTGATCCTTATCACAAGACTTCTCCAGAACGAACATTATAACATTTCTGTTGTTAATCTGCCCTCAGGAGTGATAAAGAAGCTCTGTTAGTCACTTTAGTACTTGTGATGATTGTTATTGTTTACTGTTTGAATAGGAATTACTTTTTAATCACCAAGCTAAAGATTATGTTCTGTGTAATACATATACTGAATATCGGGCTTTCTTGACACCTTAAATTATAGATTTAAATGAGCAGATAAAAGCAGAAAGAGACATAAAAATAGATTCAAATGCAGGTAGATGATACTGTTCATGTTACTTGTGTAGCCATTGTCCCAGGATCAGAGATGGAGAGAATATGCAGAAAAACTGTATGAGAGACCTGTGTCTTTGCTTAATTGATTAACCAACATTTTTTCTTTTTGAATAAGCCTGTTTTTCTGTATTTAAACAGTTAATTTAATCTTTCAGACAGGGGAAAACAAAGGATGGAGTGGCCCGAAGGCTGGGTTTCCTGAACCACCAAGTAACAGTAAGTTCTCATTTTTATGTTATCTGCACTTGGTATTCATCAATGGTTCAGTGACTAGCTATCACTGGGTCTGTATGGGCCCAAGATGCCCCCGTATTGTGGAGGGTACAAAGGAGTCGTGGTGTTTGCTCTCCTGAAACTAATAGAATAACTGGAAAACTAAGACACAGACACTCATATCCTTAACATGGTTAAACCATTACAGATGGAGTACCGTTTAATCCACATAGTGATGGCATTCTTTTTTTAAATTGTCATTTTTATTAAAACAACATTATTATAATATAAAAAATTTGAAAAGCAGTTATCCTCAAGCCGATTATGCTATCAAATCAACTTTCACTGTTCCAATTGTTTTTATATACACACAAATTTTTATGTAATTATAATATGGATAAAATTTTTATTCTGTTTTCATTTAACGTTGCCATATGCATTTTTCACATTTTGCTGAGTCATTAGAATTTTTAATATTTTGTCAAATTCACTAAGTGAAATATCAGAAATATAGGAAGAAAATTACTCGCAGTTTCATCCCACTTAGAATATTGTCAGACATTTAACGATCAACTTCAGTTTATTTCTTTTTGCAAATGTACATGATCAAGATATTTTGCATTGGACATACAGAGATTTTTCCTTTTCCTTTTACCCTGCCCCTCCTCCCAAAGCATCTGTCTTCACTGAAGTGACCATTTTACTGTAAATCTGTGAATCAAAACGTTTAACCAGTGCAGACATCCAATCTCATTTCTAACCCTATCTCTCTTCATTACAACCTCTGAACACTGAAAAAGCTTAAATCTGTAAATTGTCATAGTGAAGGATGTTTAGTCTTTGATATTAGCAGCTCATCTCTTGAAGTATAATGAAATTAGTAACAAATTCTTACCAAAGCATGCTTACAAGGATTGAATTCTTGGATCATCAAAACTAGCCTCTTGAAAGGAATATTTCAGTGAGGTAATGGTATTTTGGGGTTACTTCCTGGGAATAATTTAAGTTAATGTGCCTCTGAGCCCTTGGACTATGTACATAGGGTGATGAATGTGATGGGCTTAGCACATAGCCCAAGGAAAAAATGGAATCAATTCAGGATTCCTAGAGTTTGTGTTTAATTCCTTTGATGTTCAAATATATTGGTTCATAATTACTTGTTGAGGGAATGTAAGAAACAGTAAATTGATTGCAGTTTTATATAAAGTACTTAGCACAGTACCTGTTTCCTAGTAAGCATGTAATAAATGTTGATTTCCTTCCATGCTTCCCCCTCCTTTCTTTTGTAAAAATGATATAATTGTGTAGGTTTGCCAGAAGTTCCTTTCTTATACTTTTTATCTGTCAGATGTTTTTTGCATACACGTGGCAACAAAAGAATACATAGTTTATTCTTGAATAGTTATATTTTGGCACTGGACATTTTTTTCAAATAATATAAATGTTATGTATTTGAATATAGAAGTCAAATAGTTATTAACTTGACAGTTTTAACATGAGATTACATTATAGATCATCTGCAAGATGATAAACAGTGATATTTCAGCCCCTAGCTTTATATGTTTGTTGATTTTTTTTTAACTCGCTAAGGAACACTAGAACTTGTCTGCAAGTATAGGAAGGGATATCACAATGAGGCCAATGAGTTTAAGTAATCAGAAATGTGTAATAATGCATAAAAGTTTTGCTTTAGATACAAAGTTAAAAGTGATAAAGCTATCTGAAGCCAGCTTAAAACTTAACCAGACTCTTGACTCTTTAGGAATCCCTCTGGTCTACTACAGTGGTTCAAATTGAACATTTGAAAAAAGAACGTTTTCTCTCCTCTTTCTAGCTGTGACAGGTGAGAAAGCTGATATAAGGGTTCTTCCGAATGAACACTGAGTGGTCCCTGCCCTGGGTTACCATAGAAGACACTGGCAGTCTAGCTCCCGAGTAACTATTTCACTTCCCAAAGGCTGTTGCTCACTAGTGAAATCCCAGAGTCCTCCTGGAGCTAGCTCAAAGCTACATAAGTATACCATTAGGAAAATTTGGTCCCTGCTTAGGAATTGATCACTCAGGTGATGAATCCATTACCTGAAAATTAATTTAACTTCATATATTACGGTAACATTTAGGTTAACTTCTCTTCTACTTAATCAGTTCCTTACGTTTGAAATTCTCCTCTAAATTATTTCTGTCCTGTGAAGAATACCTGAGTTAGTATTTTGCGGGCAAAGGTTAGAGCAGAGATCTCTCAGGATGGTACATGTGGGGGAAGATAGGAATTCGAGATTGCTAGTGCTGGCTGCCTCACAGACATGTTGTCTGATCTTGAACAACTCATTTTACATCTTATTCATTGTGCTAAGAGTTATGCATGCTAATTTATAATGTTGAGAATCTTTAATTATGTAACATTTATAAAATGATTATATCCTTGAATATAGCATCTGAAAAAGTAACATATTAACTTTGTGAAAAACACCATGTCATCATGAAATGGCTTTCTCTATTATGTCTTTGTTAAATTCTACATTACTTCGAAATTGTAGTTTTAAAGATCAAATTTTTAAGCCAGACATGGTGGTGCCTGTAGTCCCAGTTATGGGGGAGGCTGAGATGGGAGAATCACTTGAGTCTAGGAGTTCGAGTCCAGCCTACATAGCAAGACTTTGTTTCTCTAAAAAAAAAAACCAAAAACAAATTTTTAGGCACCTATTATTTGGATAAATAATATGAAATTAGCTTGGAACCATAATGTACAAAAATTAAAGGAAGGAATGCGGAATTGGAAAAGAGAAAGAGGGGAATTTTAATCTGGTATCGCTAGCACCTAACTATAAGTAGACAAAAAATGTTAATGTACATGTGCATTTAATTTTTGAAGTGGAAGATATTTTTTTAAAGATTACAGTCATAAGAAACTGCTAACAATTACAACTAAAAAATAGTTTAAATGGTTTTGCAAGTGATTGTGATTACATAGCCTGGTTCCTCAATTTATTTTCCTGGCTTGATTGCCTGCAGATTTAAAATATGGACCTAATTGATGGCATTCTTTTTTTAAATTGTCATTTTTAT